CCCCAAAAGGTCCAGTAAGGTCCAAGGACCCCAAAAAAAACCTCCAGTTTTTGACCCCCCCCCCCCCCCCCCCCACACACACACACACATCATAAATGAATATAAATATTGTACCTTGAGTTCTTTGGAGTTGACAGCCAAGGGTTTGATGGCATCAATGGCCTTGGCATACCACTCGATGCAAGTATTCAGGTCTGGTAACTGACTTCTGTACATAAATTCATATTTCTTTATGACCTGAAATTGGAGTTTAAAACGGTTTGATAGTTTTTCTTTGCAGGATCAAAAGATCCCATAAGAGATTCCATCTGTAATAATAAATTAGGATGTATAAATCATATATCAAAATGTAATTGCATGTATGACATGGTTCAGGCCCGTAGCCGGGGGGTGGGGTGGGGGGTGGGGGGGGGGGGGAGGGGGGTAGGGGTTCAAAAGAACCGTCCCTTTTGTCATGAAAAGGTCCATTTTGGGTAAAATTTTATCTAGGTACACATAAATTTCACTGTAAAAGGTCCACTTTTTCAGTAAAAGAACCCCCCTTTTGAATTTGCTGGCTACAGGCCTGTGGTTATCGTCAAGTGAAAAAACTTACTCCCTCATCCCAGACTTTAGCCATCAGATTGTACAGACGTGCCATTCTCTCTGGTCTCTTTCCCAACAGCGTCTCTTCCATAGCCATGGCCTTTTCTGCTAATGCTTTTGGTTCTTCAAAGAACCCCACTTGAGACCTGAAAACAATTTAGAAATCCCAGTTAAATTTTGTTTGTTCTGCATATGCATTAAGCTTATCTCTGTGGTCCTTTTTCTTTTCAATTACTCGAAAATATATTCAGATAATTTTTAATTCTGTCAATAAGTGTTGGTCACAGTGCATGATCCAAAGACTGTAGTACAGTTATCAGTGTGGAACAACTCAATGTACAAAATGCACATAGGGACCATTCAGAATGAGCCAAGTGCTAGCTAGGCCACAACCTAAATATTGCAGACCTACATAAAAGGAAGACCGCTGTAATGGTCTCTCCACATTTCACACGCCTCCCCATGCGTCATCCCTGCAGGGGCACAGTAATTAAATCTTGGCTCAATTCATTACAGGATTAAGCGGTCTTCTTTTCACGTAGTTCCGCCATATTTAGGTCATGGCCTAGCTAGCACTTAGCTCTTCTAATTCTGAATGGTCCCATAATGGAATGACAATGTGGAACATGTATATTTTTAAAAATTCTTTTTACTTACAATACCCTTGCAACTTTTTCATATCTCAAAGCCAACCGGGCCTCATCAAAATCAGGAGAATTTTCCATGTTGTGCAAAGCTTCCAGGTAGAGAGTTTTCATTCTGTCTGTGTCACCAACCTACAAAAACACAATACAGAAAATTACACATCAATTTCCAATGACTGCTAAAAGAGTTTTTTTACAGGAAATTATGCAGTCAAAAAATACCAACTATGCAACCTCGAACAACATTAATAAACAAGATCTATGCCAGGATCCAATGCCCCTATTCATGGAAATAACAAAATTAAAGTTCTGTGTAGGATAGCCATCCAGTCGTGGTTTACAAAAATCAATTCAATTAGGCTAAATTGTAACCACAGTAATAATTTCTTTTAAATTAATAAGAAAAAAGTTTAATTTAAAACATTTCTTAGAAATGGTAGGTGCCCTGTGAGAACCTTAGTAAAGTGACTTTGACATGAAAATTTATCCAAGTTTCATGCCATACTTGGTTTGATATTTTTTTAGATTAGAGAGTCTACACCTATGATTGCATGTATAGGTATATGACTACTTTTGTGTATGATTTCATTTTGACAGAATCAATCAATTAAAAACCATCCCAGTTCACTCACCTGCCTCCAGTAGGTGTGAAGCTGAGCGCTCCAGTCTTCACGATAAAGCCTGTCAAACATTGCCCAATCCAGTAGAACTTTCTCCAGCCTGTTAGTGTCTCCTAGCTCTATCAGGTGAAAGGGAAGCTCCTGTGATATAAAGAAAATCCATGTTTAACCACAGAATTTCAACATGTAAAAATAACGAAGTGGAGTACAATCTTTAATCTTAATCAGTATTTTATAATATGTTGTGCTGATACAAAGTACACAATTGACTGTCAAAATTTTATAGGAAGAATAAAGTTTTATAAAGTCTTAAGAGGTAATGTAGAAAAAAAATATTTGAAGAACAAAATTTTATAAAGTTGTTATGTTGACAGAATATTTGAGAAAGTGTATCAGTTTGTTGCTGATATCAAATCGCAAATCTCTATGGACTGAACAGCACAAACGAAGCCTATTGACATCAGTGCAGACGTTTCACCCATGCTTATCTGTATCTTTTAAAAATAACACTTACAGACAAAAGAACATTTGCAATATAGACAAAATCAATCTTGCAGTCCAACACTGAACACTGGTTAACTGTACCTCTTCCTTTCGTTCTATATTATCCAAACCCAAGAAGAAGTCAGCAAGTTTGCTATGCCACCACCTGTACAATTTCTTTGTGTTAGTATCACATCCCTCTTCAGATTGCCCATTGAAATACCTGAGTAAATAAAATAGGTTTGACTATTGAAGCACTTAGGCAAATAAATCGGGTTTAAAGGATGAAGTATCTTGAAAAAATAATGTGATTTCAAAATAAAATACTGTTGTAAAGTAACTGGTAAACTAATAAGTATTTTTGCCGTTATTGGTTTTCAGAAGCCAAATCACAGCTGCTATGGACATTTTGCATTCATATTTCAGAATCAAACAATTTAATAATTATGACCACTGATGCCTTCTTCAGATATTTGTGGTGACATTTAACAAATGAAAAATTTTGTCTAAACAATAAAATCCAACTGCATGCCAAGTGAAGCATGGCTGTTCTAAGAAATTTCCAGTATAACCGCCCCACAAAAAAAATCCCACCATTTTGATGCCAAATAGAGTGCATAAAAACACATTACTGTTTCATTGATGGAAAAAATCTTGATATACTTCTGTCTTATGGCCTTGCTTAGTGTCCTGTGATAAAAATCCAGTCGGCCTTCTCCACTTTGGCCATATGGGCGGAGGAAGGGCCTCAGTACTCTGTATACTGAAGCCCACTTGAAGTAGCTCAGCTGCCCTCTAGCTGCCCCTTTCTGTGCTGCTGATCGTTTCTCTGGGGCATCTCTGGCACCTGAGTCAAATACCATGACACAATTTAAAGTACAACCAATAGAAATGGAAATTTAATCTTATCCTGGACGCTAAGGTACTGGCGACAGCTTTAATATGCAGTGAGAGATATAATTTCCATTTTTTTTTAAATTTTAATTTTGTTTTAAAAAACAACAGGATGAAGCAATACACAAATAAGTACCTTAAAAGTTAAGTGCATGTATTGTACCAAGAATATGAGGGAAGGCATATAATAATTGTAAACTGTAATTGTCCATCAATATTAATAAGACTCCATGCCAGTAAATAATTTTTTTTAACTGAACCCTTTATATCATTCAGCCATGGCAAATAGTCAGCAAAATCTGTGAAAATCTAGAAAATATCATGGTACAGTGTTATTAAATGCCTAATCCGTTTATAAGGCCTGCAGTCTCTACATTAAAAAATCTCACCCTTTTCAGCCCCACTAGATGGAGGCATGAGGTTTTCTTCATCTGACAGGAGAATTAGAAGTTCAGACTCCAGCAGCCCGCCCTTGGACACCTCAATCATGCACAGGGTGGCAATCAACAGGTTGCCGCCAGCTTCTCTCTCAAACCTCTCTAAAACTTGGGACAGTAACCTGAAATAGAAACATTTCAATTTTACTATAACTTAAAAAAAAAAAAGTAAAAATTTAAACAAAATGATGTCATTTATGTTTAAGAAAAAAATACTAGAAGAAGAAAAATTTTTAAAGCTTACATAATTTGAACCAAAACAAATAATTAACTACAAAAATAATAAAATGCACAAAGGAAACTTTTCTATTTTTAAATCATTATTAGCCAATGCCGCATAAAATGCAAACATAATGTACAGTTTCAACAATGAGGCTGTCCATCAACATCAATCAGTCTACTTCCATTTCAACTTTGACCTGATGTGAACACAGCCTCAGCTGCCAACACCCACCCTGGCAGTTCCTCCTTCAAACTTTTAATCTTCTCCGTCACAGTGAAGAAGTCCCCATGCACGCGCAGCTCCTCTAACGCAATGGACAGCCAGAGTGGATTATTAGTGGACGGTTTATTCATCAGTAAATTGAACTGACTCGGATCAAGTTGTTTGTTGTAGGTGGAAAAGAATGTCTGGACAATTTCCTAAAATTAAAAGATGTCTCATGTAATCTTACATCTATATATATAAAGGTTTCATTTCCAAACAGAAAAGGGATAGTCAATACAGGAATTTAAACTAGGATATCAAGGCTTACATGTATTTTAGTTCCAAGAATGGGTCTCTCATCTTAATCTCTCAACTCCTACTACACAAATTTCCCTTGGTACTTTTAGAAGTTTTATAAAATTCTATACAGTTTTCCACAAAATACAGTATCCATCCTCCTCATGGCTTCTTAAAAATGTCATTCTTTATTTATGCAGGACAGACAGGAGGAAAAAACCTGGGTCTCCTTACATTTTTTAAAGAATTTTATATTCTTTTTTATTTACACTATCAACATTTTGACCTGGTGGAGGTCATACATCTGGGAGTGGCCTATAATAACCACACCTATGTAACTCACCTCTCTAGCTTTCATATCCAGGGGCTGCACAGGGAGTTCTTTGGGTTGGCTCTCCCGTTTCATCAGGGCCTTGTGTTGAGGGGTCCCCGGGATCATGGAGAACACACAGCGGACATTTGGGGACAGTTTTGGGGGCACAAACAGCATGTTTAATGCAGGGTCATCATCATCCATCTGTTATACAAAAAAAAAAAAAAAAAAAAAAATTAGAAAAAAATTATAATACATAAATGTGATCAATTCAAACAAGTTAACACTGATATTTTAATATTTAAACTATAAACTATATCATTTGTCCATCTAAAAACTGTTAAAGAGTTTGATGCTGTATTCAAAAAAATTGAATTTTGATTAACTATGGTGGATGATTTGAAAATAAATAAATATTAAATAAATGTTAATTTCAGCATATTGTTTTCATTCAGTCGATATTCCCTAAATTTGTGTCATCAAAACTGAGATACAAATAAGCAACAGTCATAACCTCATTGAACAACCCACTTCACTTGGTACAAGTAGTGAAGTTCTCAAAATAATATTTCCTATAATATTCCCAGATATGTTTCGATGCCTCTCAAGTATAAATATTTTGATGCATCTAGAAAGATCTACATAATAGTTGTTGAATACAGTCCGAGCTTTTGAATGATATAGTTTATAGTTTAGAAATTAAAATATCAGTGTTAACTTGTTTGAATTGGTCACATTTATGTATTATAATTTTTTTTCTAATTTTTTTTTTTGAGGGGCCGAAAGCTCGGACTGTATTCAACAACTATTATGTAGATCTTTCTAGATGCATCAAAATATTTATACTTCTATTATTACCCAGATCTATATGGTGAATCAACATGACGCCTCTCAAGGACACATGCATGACACAGTGACATCAGTGTAGACTGAAGATGATGTCAGATTGCTGTTGCAACATATCTGTGAGTATCATGAACAACTAGAGGATCAGAGAGGCGATACCGCCTCCGAATATTGTACCACCAGCTGGAGCAAGCGCATTCGTATAGACCCCCACATACACAAAATAAGGGGTGCAGCCACCAGTCTTGTGCTTGACAAGCTGTAAAAATGCAATCAACAAGAATTTTCAAAATATGCAAAAAATATATATAACTAAAAATGGTGCAATCAAAGTTAAGTTCATTGTAAGGTAGGTCAAAGGTCAATTTCAAGGTCACAGTAAATTGCCAGTATATGACTTCCTATCCAACTTCAATAGTAACTATGGACCTATCTCTGCCAGTTTTGGAGATAAAAGGGAAGCAAAATTTGCAAAGTTCAGTTCATGGTGAAAAGTAGGTCAAAGGTCAATTTCAAGGTCACANACGCATTACTCTGTTATGATTGTAGTTTTCTAAGAAGATGCTATTTTGTGGAATACTCACGTTAACAAATCTAGTGCTTCTCGGGCAAGATTTGTTCAAACATTCCACAGACTTTATTTTCGCGATGTTTACAACGGTGTCCAAGCGTAGTCTCGATCGGAGAGTTAATCTTTTCGAACCTTTACATAGTATCAGGTATTATGTCATCTCAAGCGAGGCCGAAGAATGGAGAAGTATTTCTCGAGGATAATAGATGGCAGCATCACGCGGTGCTCTTGCAAGACAGAACAAAGTTTGACGCCATAGGCACACTAGTTAACGTGAATTTTTTTAAAGATTTAAAATATACTAGGTTCATGGCATTTATTTTGAGAAATTCCAGTATTTTCAATTGTTCATTAATTGGAAAAGCTTTTTTTTACACCAGAAATCATGACAATGACAAAACTAAATTCTTGGGCCAATACACTATAGTAGATATTTTAACAATTAAAATTATACTAATTATACTTAATAAAATACTAATAAACCCGATTTTGAAAGACTTTAAAATAAAAATAAATGTTAAAAAGTTTTCAATGTGACCCTTCAAATTATAAAACAGTAATATATAAGCAATAAAAAATAAATTTTATTATGATATGTGAAAATGCAATTCCATCCCTATTTGTTATAAAAATTTCATTTTGGAATAATTTTTTAATGTATTTATCAAAAATTGTATAAATTGAACTTCTCTTAGGAAGTATAGAAAGCATACAAAAACAACAAAACACACAAGTTAAATAATACTGTAACTACACTATTTATATTTTCATTAATATTCAACAATTTCTTATCTATATTTCTTCGTGACTTAGTATGATATTGTATTGCACTCCATATTATATATATATATATATTTTTTTTTTTACAAAGTAGTATTATTAATGAATAAATTCAAAACTGAGCAAAAAGTCAATTAAGATAAAGAAATAAGAAATACATAATAATATAATGGCCCTGTGTCTTAGTTTTTGTATGACAAAAAGTAGCATTTCATAATGAGTAGTATGGCATACACATTTCTAAATGTTTTCAATGAAAAATAAAAATATTTCAAATTTTTATGTTTTTTTACATACAGATTTTAATACCAATGAATTACATAATATTAAGAAGGCATGCCATAACGGTGATTTTTTAAAAGTATTAATATCAGTTTAGTAATAATATTTATTTAAGTTTGTGTCTCATTATTTATTTAGCTTTAGTTTAGTGCACAGCTGCAATATTTGTCTCCTCATCATCCCAAGCCACTGAAACAGTTTAACAACACAACAACCTCTACCAACTTGCACAGAAGTTGACATGTTATCATTATAACACCTATCACAAAAATTACATGTAATCCCAGTAAAACTGTTTTTTACATCACAGGCAATGCCTGCATGACTGGCAGTCTTCGCATTATTAGACACAGTAGCACCACTATTGATTTCAAGAGCTGAGATGTCACAGTCTTTGGGACCCAAATTCACATCATCACAATGTTTTATACCACCCATATCAGTAACCCTGCTAACATCATTGGCAATGACATCATGGTCACAAATGTCCTCAAATGCAGTGTCAACATTTTTAGTCTTGACATTGTCATCATTGTCAATGATATTCATATTACTATTCACTGTAGTACACATTTTGGCATCAACCTCAAGATTGTCATTGAAACTGTTGTCATTGCTGGTTTCAGCCTTGTCACCACTGCCATTAACAGTGATGATAACAGTATCACCAGCAGTGCCATCTTGTACCTCTGGGGTGCTCTCTGTATCATTGACATTACTGGCCTCAGTGTCACGCGTCTCGGCATTACTGACACTGACATCATTGGCATCAATATCACAGATGCTGTCAGCATGGACATCAGCACCAACTTTGTCTTTATCATCATGGAACGTAGGGACTGTGGGAATGGCATCACTAGCATTGACATCATGAGTGCTGACATCAATGACATCTGGGGTGCTGTCATTGACATTACCAGCCTCAACGTCGACTCTCTTGAGATCTGGGGTGCTGTCATTGACATTACCAGCCTCAATGTCATCTCTCTTGAGATCTGGGGTGCTGTCATTGACATTACCAGCCTCAATGTCATCTCTCTTGAGATCTGGGGTGCTGTCATTGACACTACCAGTCTCAATGTCATCTTTCTTGACAGCATACCCATGATCAAACATGATGTCGTCCACATCCAGTCCCTCCCTTATTCTTTGCAAGTTTTCTTCCAGTTCATCTTCTGACAAAGCTCCACTAAAATACGGTGACAGGGGGTCTTCACTGTTGGGGTTATGCATGAGGAAAAGCAGTCCTTGTACGCAGGTCTCTAGACCAAATGTCTCTTGCCATTCATCAAATAAGTTCAAGCAGATATTCGTATAGTCTGTGTCACACATGGGGTCTATATTAGGGTGGTAGATGTTTGTTTTGCAGATTACGTCAGGATACTGACTTGGGTAATTTTCTGGAATTTTGATCTGAAATTATAAATAAAGTTGATTCAAATTCAAGCTATATGTATGTAAAATCAATTTATATGATCATTAATACTGTATACTCATAACATATGGACATCAATTTAAAACAAATATGATATTTAATAATGCCAACCTCTGTGAGAGAATATATGCATAAGATTACTTTGTGTATGTACTGTATATAAATTTTAAAAATAGGCCTTGAACTTTCTAATTTTAGAGATATTATGCAGTTTCTGTGGAGTCATGAATATTCTGAGTTGCATTTAATAACTGAAATTTTAAACATATATAAGGTTCAAGTGATAGGCCTTGCTGCAGGGTATATGCAGCTTTGTACATGTACCATTCATTTAGCACTTAATTCAAAACAATTATGAAAAATGGATTGGATTTTTTTTTTCGAACTTTGTTCATTAACTTATCTATTTCTCCTATTCATTTATAGCTAATACCAACAATTACATTATATATATATATATATATATATATATATATATATATATATATATATACTAGTATATATATATATATATAAAGAATTTGAACATCTGCATTACATTTTCATATTTTGACCCTTTTTAATTAAGTTATTTATACTGTACTGAATCGCTGCATAGCTGTAATGAACTTACTTTGAATAAGTAAACTCCGTCTCTGTATGGCCCAGCATTAGGTCGTATTTCGATCTGAAACTCTGAGAGCTCCTCGTCTGGATCCCAGTGAACCACCTTCACCTGGTCCTCCGTGAAACTCCGCAGGTTCTTCAACAGAATATGGAACTCCTTTTGGATACTCGAAGCCATCATGGGTATTCGAATTTATAAATAATTTTAAGCTGAACGAAAATGTTAATTGGTCTGTTTTCCTACAATATAAACTGCAAATATCCTGTAGAAATGAGCAGAAGAATAAGTGGTTACTATATTTTCAGATTAACTGCCCGACAGTAACCATCAACTAAATCACTTGGTAAAATGTGCATGTAAAATTCTTCTTCGCTTCTTCCTCGACCCCATAACTTCCTCAAGTGCCGACCAACGCGGTCCCCAGCTTGTTTTAATGCATACTACACAGGCCAGACAGCTAGCCACGCCAATTATGGACAGAACGTTAAATTTGCTTACTTCACATTTTTGTCGAGAGTGGTGAAATCAGCATCTAAACATCCCTTATATAGCTATTTCCAAGGCTGATGCAAACGCAAGCAATATAATGCTATTTGTTTACAACAACGTCATTCTTTGTTACTATTTTTAGCTGGATTCTCCAAGATAAGCCCAATACTCGTTGGTGTTCTTTGCGGGAAATAAAATCATCAATTCCCAAATCACATCAAAAAGAAATTCATCATTATCTCACTGAAAATGCGGGAAATACGTGTTGAAAATCGGGAATCACCGATTATAGTGACTTCGTTTCTGATGTACTTAGGGCCAAACAGACCTTTTTACCCGGCAAATTTTAACTTTAAAAACTATTGCTGCCCTGCAATTGTTTGGTGAAGTTGGTCTCGCCGATTAGTCATTCGCTCATAACTTCAGAGTCACTTTCATAACTTGTCTTTATACTGTCATTTCTCCTTCATATTGGCAACAGTGAGGTTCTGATATGCTTTAAATAAAAAAATTTTTTTTTTTTTTTTTTTTTTTTTGGGGGGGGGGGGGGTTTTTTTTTTTTTTTTTTTTTTTTTCCGGGGAAAGTTTTTTGGGGCCTTTTTTTTAATACTTTTTTTTTGTTTTTTTTTGTATTTTTAAAAAGGNTTCATTAATCTGATAAATAAGCTTTTTCTAGATTAATGTGATAATTAACAGTTCAGTCTTGTCTTGTGTGATATTTATTCCTTCCACATTGACAATTCAAAGATGAAATGATTTTTATATTGCACAGACCAGTTTATAGTATTTCATTGTGCTTAACTATAATGTCACAGCCAAGATATCAGAATTGACTATCTTTGAAATAGAATAGATGTTTTTTATATCACAAACACATAATTAGTATTTATTCACCTTATTCCAGTACATGTTGACAGTGTCTTCTCACTGTTTTAGTTGAGCATGTATCTAATGGTATTCATGGCTGTGAGAAATTGAAGTGTTTGGTTCTTCTTCAGTTAGTGCTTTTGTAATCTGTGTTTGCTGTAGTGTAAAGAGGAATCATTTATGCATGGGAAAAGTTGTTTTGTAAATAGAAATTGAAGTTTGGCGATTGGCCTTAAATGGTTATGCAGATTGTTTTATGTGTCAGATGTTGATTTCTTTTTTTTTGTTTTTTTATTTTTTTTTAAAAAAAATTTTTTTTTTTTTTTTTTTTTTTTTTGGGGGGGGGGGGGTTATTTCGTTCGATTTTTGTTTTCTTTGCCGAGGAAAGATTGCTTGGAGCCATCTTTTTAAATACATTTTTATTGGTTTATCTTGAATTTTGAAACAGGGACTCATCATGACTGACGGGCCAGTCACAGTCGGTCATGGGAGTGACAGTGGCGGATTCAGGAGGGGGGGGTTTAGGGGGTCCTGACCCCCCCCTCCCCTTCGATTTCTGAAAAAATCACACCAATGGGCCTCTCTTGAAATTAGAATTTTGTGTAGCTGAATCATAGTTTTAAACCGTTAGTTGCAAATGGCACCATTCGCCCTCTAAATACCAAAAAATTTCGGGGCCCTTTTTCGGGGCTATCCTCACTACTATTTTGGTATAATTTCAACCTTTTGGCCGCTTTGCTTTTTTAAAAAAAATTCTTCTTCATTTCTTTTTTTTTGTCATTACATAGCGTACATATATACTGCCAATCAGTTACTCGAAATAAAGCACTGTCGACACGGTTTAAATGGTGATATACTGTATACATGTATTAGCCATGGTATTTATCTGGACAAATGAGCCTCTATTAGAACACTGCTAAAAAGACTTGAGGCCGAAAGTCACAGGGTTAAATATTAATGTGAAAAAAAACTAAAGAAAACAGGTGGAAAAAAAGCAAGAAATTTTGTCTGAAAATGAATATACACACTTGGGGGTGGAGCCCGTAGGCCGGTGTCACGTGTATTGTCCGTTCTGCGTGAACCATCCGTCCTGACCAATTGTGCACGCAGCAGACGCGCGTATGAGCCGTTCCGTGAATGATCCGTAGTTATTCACCTGTACTGTTATATTCGGCTAGTTCATTTCCTACCACATTAAACATTTACTATGGTGGGGATAAAATTTATGTGTTAATTGATAATTTTGATAGAGAATCAGCGTCAAATTACAGTTCGACACATGTGTGAACCTACCGTGGACGGACCGTCGTTAATTCAGCTGCTGGCTACTATTTTAGTATTGATTTTACTAGGCTAGTGTGTTGATATGGCCACCTGAGGGAAATCGCAGTAGAGGTGAACATCTATAAGATATGAATACCTCTAAAGATTATGTTTGAATTAAAGGCTAAGAATGTATTAGTGACTCTAAAGAGACGGACTGTACACGCTGGAAGTCTCACAGCTATGCCTGCGCTTTGTGCGCATGAGCAGAACGGATGGTTCACACTCCGAGCGGTACAAGCCACACCGGTCTCTCATTGGTCGGAATGAATAGAGCCCAGAGAACAATGAGATCCTGTGTTTGTCTTGTATAAATCTCGTTTTCCAGAGAAGGTGCCCTCCCTGGCGCTTCGTGATGAGATTGTAAATTAAAATACTGTCAGAAGTTTATTAAAATGCGAGAAAACACAAGAACTTTGATTTTACTCCTTTGGAAACCTTAGAGTCGGGCTATCACTTTCCTGTCTACCAGTTTCTTCACAAGTTTGATCCTAATTTTTATTTGAAAACCTTTCAGACAACAAAAGGTGTAGATATTATGAAAATTTGGCAAACATTTTATTAGAAATGAGCACCAATCGAGCTTGATCACATGACCATTTCCATATATGGAATATATAGGATCACTAAGAATAAAATTGAAGTCATTTGACTCTCTAGTCAGAGTCCAGCACCCCTTGACCCTCATGGAGTTAACAGTATTCATCATCCTTTGTCAGTATAAACATTACTTTATTGGCCATAGTTGCATGAACAAGTGGTTTTCTGTGTGTTTCTGCAGAACTCTTGCACTTATTACTGGCATGGGCTTTCAGTTGCCCACACCCTTTATGTGATATGTTGGTATACAGGTCAGCAGGTTTTGTTTCCAGGTTGTAGGTTTGACCCGCCAATGCATGTCACTGGGGAGGTATGCTCACTCATTGGTATATATTTGTGGTATATATATATATATATATATATATATATATATATATATATATATATATATATGTGTCATGCTGTTTATATAAAAAATGACAAACTGTTTGTTATTGCTGTTCCATATGCGACCGGATGGCCTTGTGATTAGAGTGCCCGCCACCGGACGTGGTTTCGAACCCTACCGGGGACATGCTGATCTTTAATATACGGTACCTGCTATCTCCCCGCTTGGCACTGTTGTTGATGTTTTTTTTCTTTTTCATAATGAGCCAAGGAGTCAAAAATTCCTTAATATGGGGTCATGGTGACTCTTTTGTAGAGATAAATCAAGGGATGAAGGGATGTGTGAATGGAGTCAATTGTGACCCTCCTGTGGGGTTTGGGATGGCGTTACTCCATTGGAGTCGACTTGACTCCAGTTGGGAGTTATTTTAGGCACCACTGCTGGACTCCAAGTTTGGAGTCAGTTGGACTCCGATTTTATTCTCAGTGCTTCTCAAACGCTATACTGACGAACAACTCCATATCATCAAAAGCACAAATTTGAAAAATGACTACATCACTAAGGGTCTATTCCCACAACTTTAGATCGATCTATCACCGCGGGGAGTCTCACCAGACTACCGTCAGATAATCCCCCTTAAGTGTCCGTCCCCGCCCACTACAAGCCGTAAGGGGCAATTAACTTTCGTGTCCGCCCGGCTGACAGCTATTCAGCGCGAACCCCCAGGGAGTTAGGTCGATCCAAAGTAGGTCGATCTAATCTATGAGAATGGGATGTAAGGTTGAAATAAAACAGACGACCATAATTGGTGGTAATGCCAATGTTTTTGTGAAGCAAAAACCTATCTGCATTTAGAACGTGGATAAAACATCTGGATATTCAATTTTATTTTTAAAAATAACTGTAGAAGCAGACAATTTTCATACAGAACCAAAATTAATCTCATTCAATTGATCATTTATGGAATTCTAAATGATCATCCTGAACTTCGGTTTTCTCTTAAGCTATTGAAATAAAATGGTTCACTGTCATAAATGAAAAAATAAAACTTACTAAATGCAATAACACCAGACTCATATCTGTGACCCATGAACCGCTAAAATTCTTAATATTCAAAAGACTTGAGTACATTATTAGATTGTATTCCTCTTACATTCAGAATATCACTCTTCATTACCATTCCATATTCTCTAAAATTGATTGCAGACAAGCTGGGTCCTTAAAAGCCAAGACTGCTAGGACGTCCAATCATCAACAAAAGTGACGACAGGGGCTCGTTGCTAGCACCATTTACTGTTTTATATCTTGGGTATTAGGGCGAGGATTGATGGCATCTGCGTTCGGGCATTATTTCCGGAAAACTGCCCTTAAATGAAGTGTAACATGTTTACACAAAAAGCATGAAAAGCAATGAAAGCTTGCAGTAACTGCAACAAAGAATATGTATGTCACTGGTATTTACACACCGTTAATACTTGTATTTTGGCGTTTCATAAAGCTTTTGTTCTTGATATGATCAAAGCAGAACACACAGTTAAAATGCGCTTCCTTTATTAAAAATTGAGAATTTTAAAACTAAATACACAGCATCTTTCAAAAGAAAAACTCATTTACAAAAAAAAAAAAAAAAAAAAAAAAAAAAAAAAAATTGACAAAAAAAGGCAAAGAAAGAAAAAATGTTTCTCTATTGAACACGTATCATATAATAATAATATATTAAAGTGATAATAACTCTTCATTTTGGCCAAAAAATGAATGTTCCTGGAGTAAAAAAAATTTTCCCATACTTACCAATTGTTAATAAATTCATTTTTACATTCAAAGCTAGTCCCTGGTTTTTTTTCTGAAATTTTTTTTTTTTATAATCTCTCAAGAGATTATAGCAGAGTATAGCCATCAATGAGGTCACGTGGTCAAAA